GTGACATGTTCGTACGAACCCTTTGTACGAACAAAAGTARGAGAAATTTAGGAGAAGAATACGAACATGTTCTTGCATGAGGCCCAATGTGTTTAGCAGTCACAAGAACCCAGTTGGTGAAATAAATTCGTATTTTTAAGAGAGGAAAGAAAACTAGGATTCTGGTTCCATCTGAGCAGATTCAGCTACACAGTGCAGCAGGTCAGCATCGTTCCTTCACAGCAACACTGTCAAGGGTCTGAATCTCTGCTGGGGGGGGACCCTCCCACCTGAGACATCTGAGTCAAAATCAGAGGCAAAGGAATCAGACAGCACCAAAAAAAAAAWAATTAATTAATTTGGCAGAAGCACAAACATGACTGTCAGAATAAAAGCCTCAGCAGCAGAGCCAAAACCTGGTCAAACAAACAATGTTTGCCAAACTATGCAAATGTTTTGTTTGCAAACCAAAGGTTTTACTTCTGAAACGATGTGTTTGTTTGCAGATTAAAAGTTGTTCTTCGGAAATGATTTATTTATTTTATTGTGGTTTATTTTCTGCCAGACTTTGACAGTGAACATTTTAAAACGTATAGGCATAAACACATTATTTACCTGGCATAAATGTTTTAATCATACTGAAATTTTCTATGTGATTTTCCTCCTAAATGACATCAAGTTACCTGATTTCACCTGTAATTCAGCTTATGGCTGCATATTATTAAAAATACGAACACAAGATGAGACATGCTTTGTTATAAAGTGATTGTAATTCGATGTTTTAACCTATTTTATTCATATGGCAGTGTTTTATAATCATATAAAAAATCTGATCTCTTCCTCATGATCAAACCTGATCAAGAGGAAGCCAAAAGTTTAAAATTCAACATACAGCTTTACTATTTTTATTTTTTTTATATTTTAATACATTTTGTACATTTTTTACAACCCTTCAATGAATAGACATAAAAACAGTCATTGTCTTTCATAGTATTTAGAACATGTATTCAAATGTTTATTTTGATGTCTGCAACATCCTGCAAAACATCTGAGAGGCAAAGAACAATTGAAAAGTTTATAAAAACTAAAAGGTAAAACTCATTATTCATTCCTTACATTTCTAGGTTTAAAAGGAGCAGCCACCAAAACTGTCATACTTTTTTCCAAACAAAAAAATAATAATAATTTGTTGCTCAGACTGTATTGACAAGCTAATAATTGCTGSTCCAAGTGGAGCCATTTCCAGAACTGATTGCTGTTGCCAGTCAACAAAATGCCATTCTTGTTTATTCAGACACTTTTTTTTACAAACCTTTATGCCTCAATTAGTTTTGCATTGCACAGTATTTCTGGTAGAAATGCTTTGATGCTCTTGCAGGAGGTAGACTGCACCAGTGCCACCAGCATTCCACATAAACAGCTAATGCAAAAATGACTGATGTAAAAGGTATTAAATCAACACCTTAAACCACAAGAAAGTTCTGGTGATTTGGAGGTATTCTGAGATGGCAGCAATTTATTTTTACTGTAAACCCAGCTTGGATTAACAATTAGCTCATTAGTCCTGKAAGACTTCAGCTCTGTTTCTTCAAAGGAAAGCAACAAGTAAGATAATAATTCTTTAGAGCCTTTCCCAGAACCCCACTTCAAATGGCCCAAACTGTTCCTTTACGATGAGTCTGTATTAGTTTGTTAACTGCAAATTCATTTCTTTTACCGACCAATTC